ACCGCCCCCTCGCCGGAGGCCTCCAGCGCTCCCATTGGCTGCGGGCTGAGCGTTCTGATGCCGCCAGCGCTAATCAGAAGGCGGTGCCAGGAAAGGAGCGGGGCGGAGGGGAGGCTGGGGGAAAGTTCGCCCTTTGGTCCCTCCCGCCCGCCGTCGGCTCTCTTGTGCCGTGCGGGAATCCCGGCTGTGATTGGTCAGGGGATGTGGATGGGAATTTAAAGGGGTACGCACCGGCAAAAAATATGGGGCATGGGCTTGCGATTTAAAGGGGTACACACGGGCAAAAAACATGGGGATTGGGATTGAGATTTAAAGGGACACGCACCGGCAAAAGACATGGGGCATGGGATTGGGATTTAAAGGGGCACACACCAGCAAAAGACATGGAGACTGGGATTTAAAGGGGTGCACACCAGCAAAAGACATGAGGTATGGGATTGGGATTTAAAAGGCTATGCACCAGCAAAAGACCTGGGGCATTGGGTACAGGGTACGGGAATGGGGCATGGGCATGGGATTTAAAGGGATACACAACAGCAAAAGACCTGGGGTATGGGGCATAGGGCGGTGATCTATCCAAAGGTTAAATCCAATTGCCTATGCAGACAGCCATGAAGCTGGCTGATCTCTCTGGTCCCTTCTAAACCCTCCATACCACAGGTGCTAATGACCCTCTAATCCAAGGGTGGGCAATTATTTCGGGCGGAGGGCCACTTACTGAGTTTTGGCAAGCCATCGAGGGCCGCATGACAGGCAGCCAGGAGCAGATAAATATTCATTTCTACTTTTTTTTAGGGGCCCCGCGGGCTGGATAGAATGGCCTGGCGGGCCACATCCGGCCCCCAGGCCACATTTTGCCCACCCCTGCTCTAATTCTTTTAAATGGTCTTTAATGGTGCCACTTCTCCAGCTAGCCCTAGGTCTGCCATGCTGCTGTCTTTTTAGCTGCTCCTGAGTCACGGGAGCTCCTATGGCACAGCCCTGCAGTCTGTTTTTTAATGCTACCTAAAACCATAAACTCAGGTGTGGAAATACTAACTCAAGGGAACGTCAGCGCAGGTGTGGAAATCGCTTTCAGGGAAGCACTGGAGGCACTGTCCAGATGCTCGAGACAGTTTGCCTTTGTTTTATGAATGTGAAAAAGAGACGTGCATTTGACTGTAATGACTCCAGGACTCATAAGTACAGACTTGGTTTTTGCCTAACATGTAAAACCAAAGCAGCCATGGCTCATGGGTGCTGAGCACCAGATTTTTTTCAGTGGGTGCTTGAGCCCCAGAGCACCCACAAAGTCTGCCCCCAAGCCAGGCCTAATCATACAATATCTTGGGATTATTTGGCCTACCTTGCTGTGTTGTTATATATAATACATGATACAGAAAAGGAATGCACATTCCAATAAAGTTTTTATTTTTTTGCTTCAATCTGAAATGGAAAACTACAGCTCTGGGCCCCTACTTATTAGTGAAGCGTCTCGTTTCTTTTTTAACTAGAGAAAAACGTGTGTTGTGTTCTAGGTGATGATGCACCCCACCATCTGCACCCCCCATTTCAAAATCCAGGATCTGCCCGTGTCCAGGGGTTTCGTGGAGGTGCTGTGCAGGGTGGAAACGGGTGCTTTGTGGCAGGGGCTTTGTTGGAGAGGATGGAAGGAGCGATGGGGGAATGGGTTGGGGCAGGCATCTGCATGTGAGGAGAGGGACAGTCCAGACACGACGACACCAACAACAGATGGGAGTGCTGGTGCTGTCATGGAATTTATCTGCCTCTGTAGGCCCCCATTGTGAACCTAGAGATTTATGTTTCCAGGGAAGAAACTAGGGGAATCACCTACTTCCTCATGCTGCAAAGCCTTAGTTCTACAATGACCTCTTTGCATCCTATGAACCCTATGAAATGCTCGTATAACCCATCTCTCATCTGGGGCTGGGCATTCATCAGCCTCTCAGTCCCAGGAGCGTCGCTCCCTTCAGTATTTCTGTGGTTTGCACTATTTGTAATAATAACAGCTTTCATTTTACAGGATTTGCTAAATGTAGCATGACGTGCTGCTTACTTCAGTCTGTGACACCGAGACCTTTGCATAGCAGCCCTCCCCAGCCAGGAATTTCATGAATAAACCACAGCCTGAGCCATCTGTAGGTCTGGCTGTAGTACGTAAAATGAGCCTTACGCTCAGAGACTGAAGGAGCTCAATCTATTTTGCTTATTGAGAGAAGGTGAAGAGGTGATTTGACTGCAGTCTATAATTACCCCCCCAGGGAAAAGATAGCTGATAGCAGAAGGTTCTTTTATCCGGCAGACAAAGGCGTAGCACATTCCCGTCGTGAGAAGCTGAAGTCAACAAAGTTCAAAATTAAAATAAGGCGCATGTTTTTAGAAGGGGAGTTTTTCGGCCATTGGAACAGATGACCAAAGGACATGGGAAAGTCTCCAGCGCTTGGGCTCTGCTCTAACTGGTGTGCTCGAGTTCACACACAGCTCGCTGGGCCAGGATGCCGCAGTGAAATCTCTGGCCAGTGTATACACCCAAGTTGAGAGGGATTAAATGGCTAGAAAAACACAGGACAAAAAGGGGCCTCGTGGGGACCCTGAGCCCAATCCCCAGCTGTCAGAGCCAGCCACATCCCGTAGTGCCATTCATAAATTTATCAAACTCCATCTTATGACCTATTCGTTACCTGTCTCCTTTGCTCCAAGCAGAAGGCTGTTGCAGAGCCTCCCTCCTGTCGTGGTTACAAATCTTACGCTCATTTCCAGCCTAAATTAATTCCTGGTCAGTGTTCCCCCATTTGTTCTGGTGTCAGTGCTGTCCTTTAGCCCACACGGCTCTTCTCCCTCCCTGGTACACACGCACGCACGCGCACACCCTCCCCCTTCTGTGTTTATAGACAGCAGTTGTGTCCCTTCTCCGCCTTCCTTTGGCTAGATCAAATAAGGCAAGCTTTTTTAGTCTCCTTTCAAAAGATATTCTCCTCATTCCCCTAATTTCCCCCTTTTCTACACCTGTGCCAGGATGAATTCATTTTTCGTGAAGATGGGTACCCACAAGTAAGACCTCTGACTTGGTGAGACTGCTCTGGCGGGTTATATCACAGCTGTTCAAGACTGGAATTCTTTGAGACAAGTGAATTCTTTGCTACTTTGAGATACCTGGACATGCTTCACTTTTAAGTTACACATTAATCCCTTTAACCCTTCCATTAAAAAAAAAACGCTTTTGGCATCCTTTGCTCTATTCATTGTTGATCTTGCCCGTGGTTCTGTGAGAGTGATGTCTGTGCCTGGCTGGATCCAGTTGCAACATTGGGACCACAGTCATTCTACTTAATTTAATTAAATCCTGCAATTACTTAGTTCTAGGCATTAAATGAGCCCCCCTGTAACTAATTAGGACTGCTCATTAGTAACCAAACTAAGCACAATGTTTTGCTTTCTGCTCATTTTAGAACTTAAGGTGCACATATTCTTTTTTTGTGTGATTTCAGAGCACCTGCAGCTCCAGGAATTGCACAGGAGATGCTTCCTAGTAACGCAAAAGGAAGCTCTCCACCTCAAGGAGCTTTCAGTGTAATTTGGACTTTGCCAGAGAGAAGTGATAATTGAGAAGTGACAGATCATGGCGTGCAGTGCTCCTTGGGCATCTTCCTACTGTGTACTCGTGTTGGGGAGCAGTGTCCAGAGCACGGCCAGGCTGTGGGGCCGTGGTGGCAGGAGGGGGCTGGAGGAAGAGAGCATCTTATAGCATATGGTGCACAGGATCCAGGGGGCTGCTCCAGGAGAGGGGCAATATGAGGAATGGCTTGTCCACTGGCCATGCTGCTCTGAGGCACCGCATGCTGCATGGTACGGTGCAGCAACACTCCTGGAGGCACCAAAATGTGACCGGTCTCTCCACGCTGCTTTGTATCGCACGTGCACATAACACCAGCCCCAGGGCAGAGGAGCAAGCCTGAGGAGCAATATGGCTCTCTGCAGGGAGAAGGAGAAAGGACCAGAATGATCCCATTTCATGGGATCCAGCTGAGATGGAGCAATTGTTTGCTTCCCTACAGACCAGGAGCTCTTGCAGCACTGGAACGAAGGTGCCTCTAAACGAGGATCTGCCTTTTGCTTAGTAGCACGTGTGCTCCTGCCAGAGCGCCGCGGGACTACAGGCCGGACTCCTCCCTGGGGTAATTGCATTGCTACACCACAGGAACGTATTTGTCTCCACGCATTAAAGTCCGTCCATGGCCACACCTGAGCAAGCCACCCCTTGCAAGGGTGTAATATGGGGCAGGATTTGGCTCCTGACTCCTCATGTTTCATGGGGTTTTATAGCAAGTTATAAAATCCTCGAACAAAGGTGAGATGAGCAAAAGGACAAAGTGTCTAAGGAGAATCATGAACTTTCACCCTTTCAGTTCTGCGTAGGACTCAAGAGCCCTGCTTTATCTTCAGTGCTGTTAAGCTGCCTGGGTTTCCCTGACAGCCTTCGCTCTCCTGCTATTGCCGCTCCACCAAAGTGGTAAAGTGGTTATCTTATGATAACGAACGGGCGGGTGGCCAACTCTCCTGCAGCCGTCCAGACTGTGGATTTATGCAATGCAGCTGTAATCACGTAAACACACACACACACACACACACACACACACACACACACACACACACACACACACACACACACGGAGGAGCGAGGACAGGTGTGGCTACTGTTCTGGGGAAAGGCTAGGACAGAACGAGGAGGTATCCTAGCCTGAACTTGGCAACAAGATGCTGATCAGAAAGCTACCATGGGAGATCTTCAGAACAGAGAAAGGAGAAGGGAAGCAGGAAACTTCCTGGCTCTGGGACAAACTGGGATTTTCCAAAGAGCCCAGGGGAGTTAGGCGCCAGCTCCCATACAACGTCCCTTTGAAAATCTCAGCCTCAAAGGATTATGAGGAAGATTCGCAATGGCACCTCAGGTGTTTAGGAGCCATGATCCCATGGAAAGACGCCATGCTCCTAAATCCCTTTGGTGCTTTGGAAAATCTATGACGTCATCGCTACTAATAACTAGTAATAATTAGTATTGCTGGCCATTTCCACGGTGCAGCAACAAAGCAGACACACGTGCAAAGCACGCCAGAATCACCAGCCTGGGAAAGGGCCTGGCTAAATGTCCATCTGTGCTGCGGCTGCAGGAGGGCAGGGAACCTCCTCGCAACGCGGGGTGACCCGAGCTGCGCTGCGCGGCCTAGTGCACGTAACGGTGTCCCCCACCCAGTCTGTGCCAGATCCTGCGAGCAGCTCATAGACCACAGAGAAGCTGGAAGGGACCTCAAGAGGTCATCTAGTCTAACTTAGGATCGAACTCACAACATTGGTGCTACGCTCTAACCAACCGAGCTAAAAAGCTGCTCTACCTGCTTGTAGGATGCTACGCTGAGAGCTACCGGGGCAGAGGCCCCAAGATTTCGTATGAATCAGGGGCACAGCCATGTTCCCATCTGTGCTGCAAAGTAATTGTGCATGTTTGCCTTGAGGCCAAGCTAACGGGTCCCTATCAGAGATCAGCGTCCCCGTCACAAGGAGCTGGACACACACGTGCAAGGAAAACAGCCCCTTGCTCCACCTGACTCACAATCACGACACGATGCTGCAGACGGATGGGGGAGGACAAGAAACCAGGGAGGCAGCAGGGATCAGCGCAGTACACGGCAGGTGCAGCACAGCACGGCAGAGGCTTAACCCTGGGGGAATGCTGCACCGCAGATACGGAGTTTAAGGAGAGATCAGGACGACAGAGAAGAGGCCCCGAGATGTCTCCGCAGAGCTCCTGCCGGGCATAAAGAACGGCGGATGAGGAGAGAGCACGCCGATCCGACTCACCAGCGCTCAGTGCCAGCCTTGGGGGTGGGCTGGGGACAGAGTGAAAGTGGAGGGGAGCGGAGGGGAGGGCACGTAGGCTGGGCTGAGCGCAGTGGAAAGGGGGCAGACGACGGGGGATGCCAGCTGCCCCAAAGGGCAGAATTCTGCACCTGCCAACGTGGCTTTCGCCGCCACTGACTCGCACCGCAACACTTTGTGCCGAGGCAGACGAAATGTGGGGAGAGGTGATAAGAGACAGGACAGCGGCTCAGGTGAAGGCGGGTGTGGCGAGGTTCTTCATGAGAACAAGGTGGTGCAGAGCCGTGGAAGAAAAGAAAGTGTCCTGACGACTACATCAGAGACGCACGTTGCCTTTGGCTGGCGAGAAGGCCGAGGAAGCCTGGAAGAACAGCACTGGGCTAAGGAAAGAGCAAACTGAACGGATAACGTAGCCCCAGAGCTAGTATTTGTCATAGCAGCAATATCCGAGAGAGCCCGATCTGGAAATTCAACAGGTTCTTTTCCTTCTTGTGTTACAGTGCTTGTATCCACCAAGGCTTGAGGGATAACCATGGCTGCTGCTTCAGTGCGTGGATCTCAAGCCTGGAGGTCTCTCTCCCAAGACGTACGAGTTTACCAGGGAGACTGCACCAGGACTGGTGTGTATGTTTTAGGTCTCGATAAAGCCAGGTGTGGTGGCACCGTGATGGACCTCCACCAGGGTCCGTGGGGGTGAAAAGTTTAGTGGCCGTGGCTGGCAGCGTTCAGATTTATTAGCTTGGAATTGTGAAAGGCTACTTGAAGAATACAGGCAGCAGTCTGCGCCCGTGTCCGCTGGCATCAGGAAGTGCTGAAAGCAGACACACCAGCTTCGCAGCTGCTGGCCTTGCTGGGAAACCGCATGGGATGGAGCCAGGAACATGCCACGGCCTGTTCAAGTTTAGGAAAAGAACAGCAAGGAAGATGAACTGGAACGTGGTTTCCACCGGGGTTCCCAGTAGAGGAGGGGGCAATTTCCAGATGCTACTTGAGGGCGTGTAGAAACCCACCGGGAGTTTTCTAGCTGGGCTAAAGGTTTCCTGGGGGGTTGTTATAAATGTGCACGCAAACTACGGCTTCTCCTTAGGACTGGGACTGCGGCGGAGAGGACAGGGCTCTCTTTCAGGACTAGGAGAAGGTTTAGTTAAAACCACTGTCGTCAGCCAAACCATCCAACACCAAGGCTGTCAGGTGCCAGGGGGAGCAGCAGGGAAACCTCCCTCGGTGTCTGGCATGAAGGAGGAGAAGGTGGAACGGGGGGGCGTTCGCTCCATCCCCTGAGACCGGGGCCCTTGTCTCTCTGTCCCTGCAGGCTCGGAGCTGGGAGTAATTGCCCAAGATCAGACACGAGTGCAGAGGGCACGCGCTGTATAAACACAGCTGCCACTGTGGTGGTGAATGTGGAATCAAGAGGTGGAGTGCGCTGGTGCTTGTGTCTGAAACCGCCCTTCACAAACTGAGTTCACTCGATAGCCCCTGCTTATTCATAGCAAATGCATATCATGTTTCCAAAAGCATCGCTTCCTTCCCAGCACGGGCATTCCCAGACGCGCGGTAGGCCTCGGACGTGACGTATCCCGCGAGGGCAGATCAAACGCTGCGGACGCTGCAGACTGTCTTGCTTCTGACAAATGAAGGCACGGTGCGTATGTGGGACCCTCCGCGGAGAGGCAAACGGCACCCAGAGCACAGACATCAGCAGTGAAAGCATTGCCATAAATACTCCCAAGCTGGATGTGTCTCAGATAAAGTAACCAGGAATGCAAGTGATCTCGCAGACAACGCAAGGACTGCCGGGCTCAGAAGTCGCTCAAAGAATAGCCCAAAGGCAGCTGAAAATGAAGGTATATATAACTCCGATTCCTTTCGGATTTTGCCCCCGTTGTATTTGTCACACGATGCTGAAACGCTCCAAGTAAAGAACGGCGGCTTCATGCTGCTACGCAAATCGAATGAGATGAAATTCATTTCAACTAAGCCCGCTCCTGAAAGCTTCAAATGATCCTGATGGCTATTTTCTATTGCTATTATAGTATCCCGGTCAGGGACTTGGGCCCCACTGTGCTAGGTGCTGTACAAACAAGCAACACAGACGGCCCCAGCCCCATCTGCTCACTATCCAGCATTTGAAAATCCAGCAGGTGCATTGAGAGAGAACAGGGAGCGAGGAGAGGAGGCGGCAAGGCACTAGAAAGGACAGGTAACCACCCCAGCCCCCTGTGATCCAGACCAATATACCGCATGGGATTACAGTGAGTCACTTGTTGAACAAAGGAAGGGAATATGGGTTAGCGCTAGGGCAGGGACCTGGGTGCTAGTCCCAGTTCTGCCACTGACTCACCCCATCACCGGGGCTTCGGCTGTCAGATGGAGAATAACACCACTGAAACGCCTCACCGGGGTGGTTTGAGGTCCTGGATAATTAGTGGCTGCTCCGAGATCCCCAGATGAAAGGTGCTATTGGAACATTTCAGCCATGCAAGAGGCAAGCACTCATTTGGATCCAGACAGGGCATGAATACATGGGAAGAGCCTGTGCCTTCGTCCCCCTAATGCCCAACCCAGCCGCACATGAGTCCCGCACTTCCCTTGGGTGAACTCCACCCTCTGCAGGGAGCCAGCACAAGTCCTGGGTGCATTGCCTACCTCCAAGGGCTTCCCTGATGCCCGCTGTGCTAGGGCCCCCCATGCCAGGATGGCTTTCACCCTGGGCAGCTCCAGGATCCTCCTCTCATTGTGTGATGCCGACGAGATTTTGGCAGCAGCATGGAAATATGTGCTTGGCAGGGTAACGACATTCAACGTGGCGTGGGTGTGTCGGACCTGTGACGAACGTTCCCATAAGTTAATGGCTATCGGAGCTTTGGATCTGGGACGACAGGGCTCCCCAAGTCTGATGGACTCTTTGGCAGTCCCGTGAGACTCTGCAAACTAGAACAATGTGCGGAGGAGCCTTGACCCCGTACCTTTCCCGAAACGCAGCCCATTGCTTTTGCATCACTCCAGGGCGGGTGGAGCCCCACCATCTGCATGTATTGTTCTCCAAGCCATGCATGAATTCCTTTGGCTGGAGAAGGCTCTTGCTATTGATGTGGACACAGTGGACTTTTTTTTTTTTAATTTCTCATCTGAGGCCAAATCAGCCAAATCAGCTCTGAAGTCTATTGAGTGAGCAGAGCTCAATCGTTCAAGTCTGCATGGTGCTACCACCGGCACGTGTCCTCCCTCCCAGCCTCTTCAGGCTGGGGCTGCAGATACTCCCAAACCCATGGCAGGCTTCCTACATGCAGGCAGCAAGCCCAGAGGCCTTGGGGTTCAGATGCCCCCTAGTCTTGCTTGCCCCAAGCCAAAAAGCCGAAGGAGCAGGCTAGAGGGAGAGCCCAGGAGCAATCCCCCAACACCATCAGTTGTGTAGCCGAGATCCTTGCATTGGGAGGCATTTGTAGACGCTCGCAGGGTGCCTGCCTGCAGTGGACAGGTCTCCACCCTCAGCTACACTGAGCCATTCAAGGCCAGGAAGAAGGGGATCACCTCTGCCAGGTATGTAAAACCACCTGGCCCGAAACCATCATCATGATATCTCCTCTGTGGATCTCTTTTGCTAGTTCAAGGTCACTATGAAGCAGGTCGCTGAGTGGCTGCAGGTTCGGGAAACTGAAGATATCTTCTCTCCTAAGATATAGTGGGCTGGTCGCTTTGGGACCCCGAGAGCAGGCTTCTTGAAAGAGGCCTTCTGCAATGTTCGACCTCCTCCCTACATACTTGTTTGTAGGAGCATTGACTCCTTCTTCAGCAAGATGCCCCTGCCCTGGAGGTTTTAATTAGAGATGGCTGGAAATTTTCTGAGGATACCAAGTCTCGCTTGAAAAGGCTGGTTCGCTGAGCCTGGAATGTGTGATTCAGAGCATCCCGGGTTGGATGACCTTCCTCTGAAGCCAAGACATGGGGCAGATGGACTAGAGCAGGAGCCCCTGGAAGCGCAGGTCGTGGGGCCCGGGGCAGCCTGCCTGGCCGGGCAGCCCCGGAGCTGGGAGCTTGGGAAGCAAGCGGTCTGTTGTCAGAACGGCCCGTTTCCCGTCTCAGCTGCAGGGCTTGGGGCACTTCCAGTTTGTGGGACATTGCAGAAATGTTTGGTTTCTCTCCGATTTGGACCAAAACCAAGTGAAAATAAGATCTCCTGAAAAAACAGAAAACCCAGCTTTGCAGCCAGCTCTGGTTCCAACGCGCGCACACGCTCGCGGGGAAGGCAGAGCCTGGATGTGCAGGGCCTCCGCAAGCGATTCTTGTGCTTGTTTGTTGGAGACATTTTGGGGGGGCTCAGGGTATTACAACAGCCGTCAGCGGAGAATCAGCTGAGCTAGCACATGGCAGCCTTCCCAGCTCGGCAAGCGCTGTTGGTTTGCACTAATTATTGTAGCACCTTCCTTCCTGATGTCTGCAAGTCTCTACAAGTGACAGTTCCCTCCTCATTGCACACGGCTTCGTTGGAAGCAAAGACAGAGGTGCCCCCAAGGGAAACATTTGCTAATTCTTCTGCTGCTATCTCACCCCGGCACCTTCTTTCTGCCCCCTTGTTTAATGGAAGCGGCATCTCCAATTTGGCTTCCGAAGCCTCTCTTCTCAGTGCTTAACGTATTAACCCCTCGCTCCGCTGCAAGACACCTTGGTGTGTGCTGTGCTGTACGGACAGGGAGACCGAGGCACCGAGGAGCCCCGTGTGTTGCAGGGAGTGGCTGCCAGAGCTGGGATGAAAGCTCAGATCGCAGATATCCAAGCCGGGATGTGCTGGCTCCGTCCCAGGACACGCCTGTGGGAATACGCCTGTGTAAGCAGGCCACGCTGATGTTCTGAGGCACACCAGCAAAGTGGGCCAGCGAGACACATCCAGGGCCCGTCGGGGGGGAAGGAAATACCAGGCCCCCAACGTCAGACCGCTCTCATTTTCTGTTCAGTGGGGGGAGGTGGGCTGCTGGGGTGTATCGGGCCTCCCCCAGTTTCTCTCACAGGCCCTGGACACATCGTCACCAAGCCTGGGTCTGTTCCTCTTGTGTCCTGGTGCCCAGCTCTGCCACAGGGTCCCTGGAAGACCCTGGGCAAGTCCCTTCGCTGCTCGTGCCTCATTTCACCATCTGAAAACAACTTGGTTATCCCAGCTGGGAGCTTCGGGGCAGGGCCTGTTCCTCTCCATGTGCCTGTGCAGCACCCAGCACCATGAGGCCCCAGCCTTGTTTGCTGCCTCGAGGAGGCTACTGTAAGAGAAATAATAATAAAGATAAGGAGATAGCGCTATCCTTTAATTCTGGATTAGCCAGTACTACAGTTCCGGCTTATGCATGTAGATATTTATCCTCTCCGACACTCAGGGAGACCTTGGAGGGTGACGCCAAGTGATTTCTGTGCATTTATGGGTTACACTCTTCTGCACTGGGCGAAGCGTTTGGAAAAGACAAGGTTTCCTGTACAGCCGCACCCGTGTCTCAGCACGGCAGACGCGAGCACAGCCAGCTCTGGCCTGGCTTGCTGGCATAGGGAGCATACAGCATTCAGTGGCACTGTAGGGCATGGACCACGAAGGGGAGAGGACTCCTGGGCTCTGCTAGTAGCTCCGGCACCGCCTTTCTGCATGACCTTTGTCAAGTCACTTAACCTCTGGGTGCTGAGTGTCCCCCTGTGCCTAATGGAGGTAATCATAAATAATGAGGTTAATTCTTACCTTGCCGAGGTGTTGGGAGGCTTAATGAAGGGCCTAAGCTGTGCTTTGAGATCCTGAGATGAAAGGCGCTGCTGAAGCACAAGGTGTCATTAGGAAAACAGCAGCGGTGACGCAGGGCCCTGGAATGACACCACCTGTTCAGGAAAAGGCAGCCTACAAGTGACGGCGGGTTCGAGGTCCCTCAGCGCCCGCTGGCAATTGGGCTGTAGGCAGCTAGGACTGGGACGGGTCTCCGTCTTCCAGGAGCCCGCGATGTCTCTAGAGAGGTGCAGAAAGAAGAGTATCAGGCCATCCCGCCAGCAGGGTTAGTGCTAGCAGAGAGCGCGGCGGCTGGCAGCTGGCGAGGGAATCACACAGACTCGCCCCTCCAGGCCTTCACCCGCTCACCGCAGGGCTGATTATAGCTGGAGATTTCTCCCCTGCCCTACGCGCTGCAGCAGACCCATGTGCTCGGGTCTCCCCAGTGCCCACTCGCGCCCCGCGCCAGGGCGGCTGGCAGCAGCAGAGACGGGTGCTCCCCGGCGTGTTGAAGCAACTTCCCCTGCTGCGCACACTCCAGGCCAAGGCTCTGATTCTGCCCTCCCTCCCCCTGAGCGGGGCAGATAGCGAGCACTGCTTGTTCCAGCGCAGGGACCCACCCGCACTGCAGGCCAGGCTGCCTGAGCCCGGCTTGTATGGACAGGAAGGGACGGGGCAGGGAACTGTGGTGTGCTCAATTCCCCTGGCTGGAGCTCGGCGGGGAGTGCCGAACTGGCGGGCCAGGAGGCACGGGCACACCCTGCACCCGCTCCCGATTGCTACGCAAGGCTCCAGGCTCCTTGCCCCCTTCTTCCATGTGCACGGCCCTCCCTGACCCCTTCTTCCCTCCGTCAGGACCAGGGACGAGGGGGCAGCCGGGAAAGCTCACGGTGCTGAGGAATCATTTGAAGACCAGGTGTTTGGCACTGACCCAGTTCGTTCAGACCTCAAGAGGCGCATCTCCCTTTCCCAGCCAGCCTGCGCCGCCGCGAACACTCAGTCTTCATGTAACGCTCAATCCCAAAAGCTTATAACCACCCTACTCGTTACACTTAGCAGCAGTGTTCAATTAGCCTCCTTGCTTGGATGATCAGACTCCCCTTCGCCTATCGGCTACTGTAGGCCTAGAGATCCGATGGCGGCACGTCCTGGATCTCGTCCGTCCTCACTTTGTGTGCTTGTCGGGCTGTCTTACCCAACAGCAGCCCCACCGCCCTTGGTCTCCCCGCTGTCTGGAGGCTGGAGAAGGTGCCGCTGTATCAGCACGCGTTCATCTTAGGCAATAACCTCCCAAGATCAAAAAGCACTCTCCCAATGCATCCATCCTACGGCGATACCCTTTATCGCTTTCTGCAAAGTTTCCTGCCGATCCGTAGCTGTAGCTATCCCTGCCCAGCTGGATTTTTTTTACTCGGATTGGTCCGAGCAACGCCCAGCTTTAGATCCTGCACTTTTCTCAAAGCCTTTAGAGCACACGTTCCCAAATCTCTCCTTTATTTGTATTCAGCTCCACATGCCTTTATGCCTCAAGTCTTTTCCTGCAGTGCTATGGATTTTAAATCATGTCTATGTGGTCAGAGCACAGTTTTCCCACGATAAACCTCATTTTACACCGTGTAGCTTTGCTTATTTGGCAAATTCATTGTGGGTCTTCTGGTGCTGTTGCTCTCTCGTGCAAACTGCAGGTCACTCTTCAGGCCCAGATCAGGAGTGGTAGTTAAGGCTCCTATGCCCGCGCGTTTACAGGCTATTGCATGTGCCAAGTGTTTCAGAACCAGCTCCGGTCAAAGGTGAGGCGAACGCCTCCCATCTCACTGGCATGCTCTGCTTGCAGATCCCGCGAAGTGCTCTTTGAGCTCCTTCTCCTTCCCCTTGGTCTTCTAGAGTTGCAGGCTCAGCTCTTCTCGAGCGTGTCCCTGCTCCTTCCCCCACCCAGAGCAATTGCTTTTCCAGTTCTGCTGAGCCCTGACACAACCCGGTGTTCAGGAAACACGTGAGAGGCAAAGTGCCGGACGCGCGTCTGCTTTGTACCAACTGGCGCCTCATCACCTAATGCGAGCCTCTTTAGCGGGGAGCCCGGGGGAGCCGCACTTTGAAGCCCCTCCACTAAACAGCTGCAAGGTCTGGCTTCAGCTGAGCGATCAGGCCAGGTCGGGGTGCAAACCGCTGGCTGCGAGGGAGTGGGCTTCACTCCGAGACCCTAGGTGCCCCCCCGGGAGGAGCTCAGACCTGCTCTGGTTGACAGCAGCTAGACCCCAACTCAGCACCCGCTCGAGTCACCTCCTCTGCCTCCAGCTTGGCGGGGGGAGCAGCTGTGGGGGCTTTGGCTCCAGGGCCACCACCGCTCACCCCCCAACAGCCCCCGAGGATGCTCCGCCGGGGCCACCAGAGCCAAGGAAGCTGCTTGGAGTAAATGTCACATGCGTGGCTAAGGGGGAATGGCATTTATGGAGCAGTTAATAATTAGTTTGTGTTTCCAGCGTTACCTCAAGCCAAATGAATGAGTAGTGGGCCTGTCTGCTTATAAAGGCAGCCAGCAAGCGGAGTCTGCCAGGTAAATATTTGATGGGGATGTTTAATTACTAATCTCTACCCTTTTGTCTCAGCAACACTTGCTAATTAGGCAGCACATTCAAGGCTGGTTCACCTTGAAAATGCATTGCAGTGGCTTTGAACCAGCCACCTGTCCCCGTTACCCCCCGGCGTTGGGCCGGAGGGGCCCTGTCTGCACGCTCGTGCCGCGGGGAGGCTCAGCGTCCCTAGTGACGGGGCCCTTGTGCCACCTCCTTTCACCTGCCCTGTGCAAGCACCGCTGCTCCGACCCTCTTCCTCTCCTGCTCTGGCCATGCCCCTTCCCTTCCTTCCCCTCGCGCTCCTCCACGATGAACCGGCTCCCACTCAGGCCCTTGCAACGGGATCACACGCGCCAAAAGGAGGTGCGAAACCCCGCCGCGCCGCAGTCTCGGCTCCCTGGGCCAAATCCTGCCGGCCTTCCTCCTGCCTGCGAGGCTCCCCCTCCCATCCTAAGCACAGTCAAGAGGGACAGAGCTTGCCAGAGGGGTCCGCAGCAGGCTGGGGCAGGGGCTGGCAGTGCCAGCGTGGTCCAGAACAGCTCAGCTGCTCTCCTTCCTGCCCGGATGCCACATGTGCTTGCCCCCTATAGCCTTGCCGTCAGAGCGGGGTGGCTCTGAGGGTCCCAGAGGCAATCTGGTGGGCGAGGGGTGCTCCTCAGGGGCAGGCAGGGCTCGCAGCTGAAAGACCTGCCGCTTGCAGGAGACTTCTGTGACGCAGGCATGGGGCTCCTGGCAGAGGAGCAGAGCGGAGCGGCTAAGCCCGGGTCCATCGTCTCCTTCGTGCTGAGGGCGGCAGGGAGGAGCAGAGCCCTGACAGACCTTTTCCCTGGTCCCAGCTGGGGGTCAGCCGAAGCTCCTGTCGGAGCTACCGCACCAGGCGCTGCCTGGCCGGGCCGGTTTTTGGACGTGCCACGGTACAGAAACAGGCCACCGCCGTCCCCGCAACCCCGCTGACGCCGGAGGAGCCGAGACGCTGCAGCGAACGCGGGGCAAGGTAGACAGACAGAGCCACCAGCTGCCGGGGGGCACGGGAGATCACCCGTGGTGGGACCGACCGACCGGCCGGCATCTTTTAGGAGTGGAGATGATCAGCAAACAGGCAAAAGCCAACCCCTTGGACGAGCTGCCGATCTGAGCGCGCGGCCCGGTGGAGAGCGTGCGTTAGACTTTCCCCTGCCCCTCCCAGCCTGGCCCCTGCCTGCTCCGCCGCGGCCCCAGCAGGGAAACCTTGGCTTTTTAGCTCAAACACTGGAGACGTGGGCTTCCGGCCCGGTTCACTCCCTGATGTTGGCTGAGACGGCGGCTGGGAGTGGAAGCCAGCCCGCTTGGCTCGGTCCCTGCACAGCTCCTAGCGCGATGCCATTGCCATCCCTCTGTCAGCTCCTAGCGCGATGCCATTGCCATCCCTCCCCAGCCAGGCCGGCAACGACGCTGGGAGAGCCGGAGGCCGAGCGGCACGAGGACGAGCCGGAGGGGCTTATCCAGGGAGGCATGTGCTGGAGCAGCGACCCCCCTGACGCCGGGGCAGGGTCACCAGGTCTCACCATCTCCCCGGTCTGCTTGTATTTCTCGCGCTTCTGCCCTTCAGTCCCCAGTCCCTGGGGCCTCAGGACACAGCTTTCCTTTGACAACTAAGAAAAGTCTCAAATGGTGAAACCAGAGCGCTGGAAAGGCCAACAACAGGGGAGACCGAAGGAGCCCAAAGCTCACCGCTTACGGCAAGAAACGCTCGTGATTTGGTGCCAATGCTGTAACGGGTCCCGGTCCCTGCACCGCGAACCCCCGTGCTCGGCCATCCAGAGCTACACGGGTGAAGAGAGGCGACAGCCCCAGCTCAGGGCTTTGCCAGTGACTTGGATGCTGATGGCACCATCCTTCGCTGCCTCCCCCTGCTGCCATTGCCGGACCCGAGGATTCAAAATTTGTGAGCCTGGATTTGCACTCGGACGCTCGCTCCGGGGTTCCTGCCCTTGGCTGCCATGGACTGACTGCAGCAGACGCAGGAGGCTGCCCCCGGGCCGGAGCTGGTAACGTGGGGCAGTCCCAAGAAAGCCCTTTCTGAAGTGCGAAACACGA